ACAGGAACAGATTGGTGGGGAGAGTACATGGGCAGAGAACCATTTCCCTGTAAAAGAAGGAAGTTATCCATCTGTGCAGAATGTGGGAGGGGATCTGAGGGTCTACTTCATTCAGGCCTTCTGTTTTTGGTACCATCTTTAGCCTCATTAAGATCTGTGAGAAATTAATTTTCAGAAGATTCCTAAGATAAATGAGTTTTAGGTTCTTTACTGCAGTTTTTCAGTCTTTGCTCTACTAATGAATACTGGGTATCTCTGTGGAGGCAGAGTTTCCTAAATATATTTGACCACAAACCATTTTTTTCACTGATCATTTAATATTTCAAATAAATAGAACCAATTTTGGAAAGACTAACCTACTTCATTTCCCCTTCTCTAATTTGCTGAGTTGGCCAGGGCTCTTGTTTGCAAGAGCAGAAAACCCAATTTAAACTAATTTAAGCCAGAAAGGGAACTTACTGGCTCACATGACTGGGCAGAGCAGGGCTTTGATCCAGGTGCTCAAATAATGTCAGTATGGGTCTTTCTCTCTCCAGCTTATATTAAGCTTAATTCCTTATGTAGCTTCTGTCCTATGGCAGGCAACACGGCCTCCAGCATCATCAGTTTGACATCCTTCCCACTTAGCCACTTCAGTGAAAGGGGAAGCCATCTTTCATCTTTCTGTTAGCTCTGCCGTAGAAGTCCTCTTGATGATTTTCATTGTCTGGGCTTGTCATGTCCACCCCTGAACCAATTGTTGTGGCCAGGAGGATAGGTTAGGTTACTTTAAAGGCTTTGGTCATGTGTCCCACTCCTTTTTCTAGGGAAGGAGGAGGCCTGTGATTGGCAGCCCCACCACGACTGTGTGGTGTTCGTATTAACTACGTTATTAGATTACATTATTTCTCATTTTTTACTGTTACTCCCAATGTAAAAGGAGCTGAGCTTTGAACACAGGTTTGTCTGATTTACGAGGCATAATTTGTCATAGTTGTAAAGAGTGCATTACAGTAAAGGTCACAAAATGATCCTGGCTAGAAGCTGCTCTGTTAATTGAAAGTTGTTGATGAAACGATTGGGGTCTGGCAAATGAAGAGAGGGAACATTTGTTAGGCTGAGACCAACAGAGAGTATTAAGATCTCTAATACTGGTGTGGGCAACCCAGATGAGGAATAGTGGTCATTCATTCATTGTACCTACGTTAGGTAGGCAGTCAGGTGCTGCACAGCAAATGGGCTTAGGTTCATTTGGCATGGTTGTACTTCTTTGGGTAAGTCAGCTTCTCTGTTTCAGATGGCTCTTTATTATTTTTTATTTTTTTAAAGATTTTATTCAGTTGACAGAGAAAGAGTGCACAAACAGGGAGAGCAGCAGGCAGAGGGAGAGGGAGAGCCCGATGTGGGGCCACTTAACTGACTGAGCCACTTAGGCGCCCCTCAGATGGCTCCTTAAAGTGAGGATAGTAACACCACCAAACTCAAGGAGTTGCGAATGGTTAATGAATGACCTTGTGAAGCACTTGCTTCATTCATGTCTGAACATAGTAGTAGTATTTTCAGTAAGTGTACTAAAATATATTCCTTTTTCTTTCCAGATAGTTTTTTCTTAATTTTCACATAACTGTAGATTCACTTACAGTAATAAAAATTATGTAGAGATGCTGTAAGTTTTATCCAGTTTTCCCTGATGGTAACATCTTACAAAACTGTAAAATAGTATCACAGCCAGGATACTGACATTGATAGGATGTAGAACTACATTTCCATCACTCCAAGGATCTCTTATGTTGCCTTCTTATAGTCACATTCACTAATATCCTGCCCATCCTCTGCTTAGTCCCTGGTAACCTCTGTTGTGTTTCCCATTTCTGTTATTTTTTAACTTCAGCCTCAAGTATGTTATATAAATGTAACCAGAGTATGCAACCTTTTGGGCTTGGCTCTGTTTATGTAGCATAATTCTCTGGAGAGTCATCCAGGTTGTTGTACCTATCAATGGAAAACTTTATTGCTGAGCAGTATTCTGTGGTATGGATGTACTAGAGTTTGTTTAACCATTCCACCCACTGAAGGGCATCTGGGTTTGACTATTATAAAGAAAGGTGTTACAAACATTTGTGTTTAGGCTTTTGTGGAAATATATGTCTTTATTTCTCTTGGATAAACCCTCAGAAATATAATTGCCAGGTTACATGGTAGTTACGTGATGAGTTTTTTAAGAAAGTGCCAAACTGTTTTCCAGAGTGGTTATGCTATTTGATGTTCCCATTAAGATTGTGTGAGTGGTCAGTTTCTATACATCCTTGTCAGCTTTTAGTGTTGTCATTTTTTTTCTTTTAGTCATTCTGATAGGTGTGTAGTGACACCTTATTGTGGCTTAAGTTTATATTTCTCTGATGGGAGTAATGTTGACTGTCTTCAAATTTGCTTATTTGCCTTCTGTATATCCTCTTAGGTGAAATGTCTTTGTGTCTTTTGTCCATTTTCTAATTGGATTTTTTTTTTTTTTGCTATTGTGATTTTATTTTTTTAAGATTTTATTTTTAAGTAGTCTCTGCACCCAACATGAGGCTGAAACTCACAACCCTGAGATCAAGAGATGCATGCTCCACCAACTAAGCCAGCTAGGTACCACTTTACTATTGTGTTTTGAATTCTAGATACCAGTCCTTTGTCAGATAGATGGTTTTTAAAAATTTTCTTCCACTTGGTAGCTTGACTTTTTATGCTCTCAAAAGGGTCTTTTGCAGATTTTGGTGTTGTCTGGATTTATTAATTTTTTGTTTTTTGTGGACTGTGCTTTTGATGTCAGGTTTAAGAGTTTTTTGCCTAGCTCTAGGTCTAAGATTTTCTCTTATGATTGTTCCTAAAAGTTTATAGTGTTTGTTATATTTTGCGTTTAAGTTCATGATACATTTTGAGTTAATTTTTGTATAAGATATGAAACTTAGATTGAGGTTCATTTTTTGGTCTATAAATGTCCCATTGCTTCAGTAATAGGTTATCTTTCATTGAATTGCTTTTGTACTTCTGTGAAAAATCACTTGGTCATATTTGTGTGGGTCTATTTCCAGGTTCTCTGTTCTAGTGATTCATACTTCTCTTCTTCTACCAATACCACACAGTCTTGATTACTGTTGCTGTATAATAAGTCTTAAAATTGAGCAGCCCAATTCTTCCCACTATTCCTTTTTCACAATTGTTTCAGATTTATTTTTTTACCTTTCCGTTATAAATTTTAGAATAATCTTATCTATGCTTACAAAACATCTTGCTGGGATTTTGATAGGAATTTAATTTTGTATATCAGTTTGGTCTTGACTGGGATGGGGCTGGAGGTTCATTATTGATTGGTTGGTTGATTTGGAAGTCCAGGGTTCGTACTTAGCCTTCTCTAATTCTACCCTGGTGCAGTGTGTTGGGGTGCCTCATTACAGATTCAACAGAAGTCAGGTGATGGGACTATACTTTTGTGTTTTGTGGGTTTTGTTTTGTTTTATGGGGTAGAATTGTTATTGTCTAAAAGTTTTCTGTTTCACTAGACTACCTCTTTTCTTGTTCTTTGCAAAGAGAACAGGCTTTTGTGGGGGGCTTTTATTTATTTTTATTTTTTAATTTTTTAAAGATTTTATTTATTTGAGAAAGAGAAAGTGAAGCGAGAATGCACGAGCGAGGGGTGGGCAGGGGCAGAGGTAGAAGGAGAAACACATTCCCTGCTGCACAGGGAGCCCAATGATTCCAGGATCATGACCTGAGCTAAAGGCAGATGCTTAATGTACTGAGCCATCCAGGTGCCCCTAGTCTCTAATCTTTGAAGTGATTTGTACTCTTGTTTGCTAATAAGCATTTCAAAAGTTGAGTGAGTTAGACCAGAACAGAGAAAGGCTGCCAGTCACTGTGAACAGTTAGTCCAAGATGGACGGTCTGGATTGTAGTGCTGTCTGATGGTCTTTAGCAGAGGGTGCATGCTTTTATAGCAGCAGCTTGTGGATTCTTCCAAAAGGTTGATTTGATTTTTCTCAGTCGCTTAACTGACTGAGCCACCAGGCACCCCTGTGGGTGGCTTTTATTGTCTGCATCTATTGGTTTGCTGGCTTCTTCAGCTTCAAGTCTGGGATATAGGAGGCAAAAGAAACACCAAGCAACTCACCATTGTTTTGTTCCTTGGGTTCCAAAGTCCCTAGCCAGTTTACCTTCTTCTCTCAGCCTTCCAAAGTCTTCTGATGTTTATTTTTTATATAATGTCCATTGTTTTAGTTGTATTTAGTGGGGGATAAGGAAAAGTATGTCTCTTCTATCCTCCTGGAAGCTGTATCCACATTTTCTTTTTTTAATTTTGAACATTGTGAACATTCAGGAAAGTAGAATAGAGTAAGTAACAGCAATATACCTGTTTCTTAGATTTAAGACTTGTAAATGTTTTCCTATATGTCTTACTCTATTTTTATTGTTCTAAAATAAATTACAGACATAATGATATTTATTCTCCAAATATTTAATACGTATCTCTAGAAAGATTTCTAAAAATAGTAAATAAAAAGTAAAATCACGTACACAATGTCAGAAATAAGATTTTTAAACATAAGACTACTTTACATCTAATGATTTATAGTAATATCCTAGTATACTCTCACACCCACTTCATATTCTCATGTCCCTAGTTGCCTGCAAAATATCTCACAGCTGGTTGGACAAAGTAGGATATAACCAAGAACTTGAATTACATTTAGTTGTTATGCTTTTAAGTCTAAGCATGAATAGTCCCCTTCCTGTTTTTTTCTCCATGATAGTGATCTGTTGAGGGACTAGATCCAGTTGAACCTTAGGATGGGATGTCCCATTATCAGTAGGATTTATCTGATTGTTTCCTTGCATTCCTTTATCTTTTGCATTTTCTGTAAACCTGAGGTTAACTCTAAAGGCTCTATTAGACTGAAGATCAGCCAAGAATGTTTTGTAGGTGATGCTACATGAAACAGATTTCTGATGTGCTTCTATCATTTATAACTTTCCTATAGAGAAGATGCCTTCTGCATCCTGTGACACACTATTGGACGACATAGAAGATATTGTGTCACAGGGAGATTTAAAGCCACAAGATAGGCATTCCGCACGAAAGCACATTGTTCCAAAGGCACGAAAACGAAATACCCAAAAGTATTTGCAAGAGGAAAACAGTCCACCAAGCGATAGGTAAGCTCTTGAAATTATGTTTAGTATCCTACCCGGGAAGAAACTGGTACTCCCTTATGTCATATAGGTAATGTCTCTTTCTGAAAATTGTTTGAACTTTTGAGAGCAGATATGTAGATTTATTTGAATTGTTTTAAATTTAACATAGTAATTGCTTAAAAAAATAAAAAGATGTCAGATGGCATGTTTCTTGAGGACAGGGGCATGAGCACTATTGAGCACAAATGTGGGAATCCCCCACCCCATGTCCACTGCCTCAGGATCTTCTTGATGATATTACTGTAGCTGGTATATAGTGTTGTGTTACTTCCAAATTGAAAGCTTTACTTGAATATGTAATTCTTATGAGACACTGTTGGTTTGGGTATTTCATTTTTCTTAACAAATTTACAAATGCCTATGGATAAGCTAAAGGCATTGGGCAGAAATAAATTCATGTGCTATTTATTCTATTAGGTCTGTAGTTGAGTGAAATTCTAATATAACTTAGCCGGAAAAGATTATGCAGTTGTTTGTCTAAACAAATATGCCTACATTTGTTTAGATAGGAAAGTGTTGAAAGTTTTAATACACTTCATTATTTTGTTTGGAACAGTAAGTTTTTAAAATCTGCAAACTTAAACTTTTCTTATATTTTAATGCCTGAAATTTATCAAATTTGTTTTGAATATGTCTTTAAGGTAATTACTATTTAATTTTAAATTATTATGACAAAGTTGAAAGCCCTTTCCTTTCTTCCTAAAAATATTATATTTTTATAACTCTATTTTTGTGTATGGAATAAAAACTTTTAATTATGATGCTATAGGGTGATAGTTTTTCTGTTTTGATTCGGCTATTTATATCTATAAGTTATAAAATAAAGATTGTAACTAATATGTAGGAGTCAGCAGGTGGATGTACTTTCTGTTGCTAGAACCATTTTCTTTGCTATTGTTTGTATTTATCTTTCTAGGAGTTTAACTTTGTGATAGAACTTCAGTAGTACTGAATTTAAGATACAGTTTGGAGAAAAAGGGAGATCTTGTTATGTAGAGAGTCTTCAATTAGAATTCTGTGGTTATTTTATCTTGATTGTAGGCTTGGTTTAACACTTGATTGTGGATTAAGTTGGTGCATTTCATGAATAGATTGTGAATGGATTGCTGTGTGCTTTTGAATAATATGCCCGGAAATCATATTGTGTTTTTTGGTTCTGAAAATCCTCTGATGAGACTTATTATTTTTTTTTAATTGATTGTTTAATAGCACCATTCCAGGCATACAGAAAATTTGGATGCGAACATGGGGTTGTTCTCATAATAATTCAGATGGAGAATATATGGCTGGACAACTAGCTGCTTATGGATATGAAATTACAGGTAATGAGAACTGTAATGTATTTTATTGATTAAATATTTCAGAGCTAAGTTTTTTAGTTAGATATTTTAGCTTCAGCAGTTAAAGCATATTTTAACAAAACTTAATGATTTTAAGGCAAAACAAAATGATAGCTATTATACACTGTCTAGATAATTACAGATATTTTAGAAATACTTCAAAAAACTATTTTGAAATGAATTTAGACTTACAGAAAAGTGGTAAAATTACAGTTTATGTGTCTGTTACCCACCTTCCCCTAATATTAACATGTAACGTAATTATACTGTAATTATAAACTGGGCAGTTACCATTAGAGCACTGCTTTTACCTCAACTGCAGATCTTATTTGAGTTTTGCTCTTTTCCCATTTATGTCCTTTTGTTCCAGGATCTGATCTAGGCTCTCACTTTATATTTATTTGTAATGTCTTCTTAGTCTACTTCAGTCTGTGACAGTTTCTCAATTTTTTCTTGTCCTTTGTGTTGTGAACTTCTGAGGAAAACCGAGTTATTAGTTATATTGTAGAATGTCCCTCAACTTGGGTTTGTTGGATGTGATTAGAATAAGGTTCTGTATGCAGTCTTGGCAAGAAGGGTACTTTGAGTTCTTCCCAATACATCAGATTGGGGGCCGGGGGCGGAGGAGTTCATAATGAGTCAGGACCAGTGGACCGTGTCTGCCAGACTTCTCCACAGGAAAGTTACTGTTTTTTCTCATTGCGATTAGTAAATATCCTGTTTCTCCTCAGCCTTTTCTCTACTATTTTTAGTGTCTGAGAATTTTAGTATCTGTCCATGCAACTAGTTTGCAACAGTCATTACAGTTTGTTGAATGATTATCATTTTCTTCTTCCACAGTTATTAATTGGAATTCTGTAAAGAAAGACTATCCTTTCTCCCCTGTTTCCTTTATATGTATCAGTATGAACTTCCATGTTGATTTTTCAGTTCTTTGGGCTACAGTCCAACACTATCATTGTTAATTTGCTGCTCCCGTTGTTCCAGCTTTCGCCTTAGGAACTTATATTAAAAAAATTAGGACCTTGTTCAGGCTGGCACCTGTGTCTTCTCAACATGCACCCATTCTTTCTGAGCACTTCCTGATTTTCTGACACCACACGATGTCCTAGTCTCATATCTTCCCATCCCCAGCTTTGGAGGCAACCACTTTTCCAGGGAGTCCTGATCACTTTCATAAGAAGAATGGTGTTTAGAACCAGATGAGAGCTGTGGACATTCGGTGTGTTTATTGCCACTGTGAAGTGTCCCTGCTTCTGGGTTCTCTCAGTGGACCACACTAGCAAATAGGTATATATAGTACATGGCATGTATATGTATCTGTGTTACTGTATTTATTAGCACGTGTGTTAAATGGGGCCTGAATTTGTGACAAGCACTAACCCAGTGCTTCATGTATGTTAGCATGCTTGATTTCTGGAGGAAGATGAGGAAATAACGGCATCCCTACTTTATGAATGAGAATGGAAGGATTGTGTGCTGTCCTGCCTTAAATCACCCAGACAGTGTGGAGTCTCCATCTCATTAAAACACTGCTGTTGACTACTGTTCTGTACCTCACAGTTGCCTCTGCCTGTGTGATCGGCAGAGTCCTAGCCTCCATATGGCCTGTGAGAATTTGGAAGGATTGGAAACTCACTTCTTCCTTCAGCAGCTAAATGGTCCTAATGTCTTAACTTGTGTTTTTGATAACTTATTCTTTAGACAGTAAAGTCACCCTTAAAAATTTTCTTAGATAAAAGTGTCAAAATGTGCTTTTAGAATTATTTATCTCAAAAAGGAATTTTTTTGTATTCATTAGTAATTTTTAGTGTAAATTAGTGTGAGTTTGTCTTAATACCTTCTGATGGTGCAGTTTGAGTGTTAAGACAATAGCCTATAAGATATTTCCTAAAATATTAAAAAAATGAGCTTGATTTTTTTTCCCTAGGTGGTATTAAATATCTAATACATTTTAATTTAAATTTTAGCCCATTAGCAGTTTGTATTTGGTCTTATGACAATACTTTTCTAAATAATAAAAGTAGAACAATAGTCCTGATGTATTTATACAGAGTTTTGTTATGTATACGCAGTTCTGGCTTCTTATTTGGGAATAGTAAAGAGAGAGAATTAAGGAAGCAATCACTTGAGTATGAAATTTATTTTTCCTATTACTGTGGTATATCATTTTTATATAGTTGCATTACCTATATATATTTCTATTAATGTTATGTACTGTGGAATGCCCCCATTTTAGAAATTTATAGACTGTGTCTAATTCTAGGCTGACTGGCATACAGCAGACTGTGGTGGAGTCACTTTCCTCACCAGTCAGGCTCTGTAGGCCCAGGAAGTATGAACAATAGTAGCTTTTGTAGGACACTTAAATATATTTTATATTTCGATTTTATACTTAGATTAAATATATGAGATGAGTAATTTCTGGGTTATCTGTACCAGTAGTCTTTCATTATTGTGGAGTGGTAGGATTTTATAAAAATTATTATTGTTAAGTAATTTAAAATGTTTTATTAATCAAGTGTTTTATTAATCAAATGTTTTATTAATCAATTAATATTAAAAATTTGTTTTAACTTTATACTTGATTACTTGATGTCAAATAGGTATAAATATAGATTATGTAAAATATGCACAGATTATTGAAAAAAGTACACAAGAAATTAAAAATTAGCTTTCACTTCCCAATAATAGATAGTTTTACTATTTGGGGACAAAAGAGAGATTATATTGGTATATACTTGAAATTGCTTTTAACTTTGGGAATCTGGGGGGAATCCCTGGGTGGCTCAGCAGTTTGGCGTCTGCTTTTGGCCTAGGGCATGATCCTGGAGTCCCGGGATCGAGTCCCGCGTCAGGCTCCCGGCATGGAGCCTGCTTCTCCCTCTGCCTGTGTCTCTGTCTCCGTCTCTCTCTTTCTCCATCATGAATAAATAAATAAAAATCTTTAACTTTGGGAATCTGGGAACATAATTATCACATAGTGAAATCTCATAGAGGCTTAACTCTGAGCAGTTAATTCTTGTCCAGTGCTACTTTCAAACCCTTCCTATTTTGAGGGAAAAGATGCTTCATAAGTTATAAAATAGTGCTCGCTAGTTTCTCATTTCAAAGAATGAGACCTACCAAGGCAAAATGATGGAATTCCCTAAAACTCAGAACAATTAATTGTATCATGTATACATAGATGCATGGAAAACAGTGAAAGTGTCCCTATAGGTACCATGGCTTGCTTGCTTATTTATTCATTCATTCATTCATTCATTCATTCGAGACAGAGAGGCAGAGACATAGGCAGAGGGAGAAGCAGGCTCCCTGTGGGGAACCTGATATGGTACTTGATCCCAGGACCCCAGGATCACAACCTGAGCTGAAGGCAGACGCTCATCCAGTGAGCCACCCAGGTGCCCTGGTACCATGACTTTTTAAAGAAACATGATTTGAATGCATACATTATAAGGGTGTTGTTTCTTCAAATAAGCAATTTTTATAGACTGAACTTTTTCTCTCCCCGATTATGCTGCCTTTGGGTATTGTTCTTGGATTATTTCTTTGGAGATGCTGGGGAAGTATTTTCAGTGTCCTCTACTGGTGGCAGATCTTCATATTTTCAGAGTACATGTAATGTTAGACTAATCATAGGTCATTTGAAGCCAATAAATTAAGTATGTGGTTTAATGTTGAACAAGGCAGTTTTAGATAAGAGTAAGCTGTTTTTTAATCTTAATAGATTCTGAAAACTGCTGTAGAAGAGTTTCAAAAAATATTTATAGCTGTGATTCTTATTGTTTTTGGGTCTTTTCAGAATCTCACAACTCCTATAATTTCATCAAAGAATTCGTAACTATTGCTTATTCCAGTAGTGGAATAAGTCTCCCAAGGTTACTGCTTTAGGGATAGCTCTCACTTAGAAATATGTTAGGGATATTTTGTTTACTTTATCATATTTATTTGTATTTTTTTTTGTTTTTATTGAAGTTCGATTTGGCAACGTAAAGTATAACACTCAGTGCTCATCCCATCAAGTGCCTTCCTCAGTGCCCGTCACCCAGTTACCCCAACCCCCTACCTACCTCCCCTTCCACACCCTTTGTTTCCCAGAGTTAGGAGTCTCTCATGGTTTGTCTCCCTCTCTAATTTTTCTCATTTTCCCTCCTTTCCCTTATAGTTTCTTTCACTATTTCTTATATTCCCTGTATGAGTGAAATCATATGATGATTTTCCTTCTCTGATTGACTTCCTCTCAGCATAATACCCTCCAGTTCCATCCACATCAAAGCAAATGGTGGGTATTCATCCTTTCTAATGGCTGAGTAATATTCCATTGTATATATAGACCACATCTTCTTTATCCATTCAACTGTCAAAGGACATCATGGTTCTTTCCACAGTTTGGCTACTGTGGACATTGCTGCTATAAACATTGGGGTGTAGGTGTCCCAGCATTTCACTACATCTGTATCTTTGGGGTAAATCCCCAGTAGTGCAATTGCTGGGTCGTAGGGTAGCTCTGTTTTTAACTCTTTGAGGAACCATGTGTGTGTCATTTTTGGTGAAATTTCTGTTCGTGTCTTCTGTCCATTTCATGACTGGATTGTTTGGGTGTTGATTTTAATAAGTTCTTTATAGATCTTGGATACTAGCCCTTTATCTGATATGTTATTTACAAGTATCTTCTGCCATTCTGTAGGTTGTCTTTTAGTTTTGTTGACTGTATCCTTTGCTGTGCAAAAGCTTCTTATCTTGATGAAGTCCCAATAGTTCATTTTTGCTTTGGTTTCCCTTGCCTTCAAAGATGTATCTTGCAAGAAGTTGTTGTGGCCAAGTTCAAAAAGGGTGTTGCCTGTGTTCTCCTCTAGGATTTTGGTGGATTCTTGTCTCACATTTAGATCTTTCATCTATTTTGAGTTTATCTTTGTGTCTGGTGTAAGAGAATGGTCTAGTTTCATTCTTCTGCACGTGGCTGTCCAATTTTCCCAATT